TGCTCTGTAATAGTAAGTACATTGAGCTCTTTTTGTGGATCAGTTTTAATATTTTATATCACTACGATTCACTTAGATTATATACCAACGGATTTGTTGCCTTTAATATATATATATCTTGGATATTGGAAAATAGAGAGAGCATGCAAACAGCTCGTGTCTTGGATGTGGTATTTGAACAAGAACAGATGGGAAGCTTATTTGATTGTGTTGACATGTATAAAATGGTGATAGCTGTGAACAGTGAATTGAAAATGGGACCAGGCAAGATGGCTTCCCAAGTGGCACATGCTTGTCTTGGAGTCTATAAGGAAATGGTGCAGACTATTGATAAATACAGCAAAATGGAGAAACAATTGTGGTGGTCAAAGTTGATAAAACAGTGAATTTGTTGGAACTTCGAGATCATGCAGAGACATTAAGTTTACCACATATATATATATATATATATATCACTACGATCCATAGTTTATATACCAACGGATTTGTTTTTTAATATATATATATATATATATATATATATATATATATATATATATATATATATATATATATTAAATTCTCATTGCAGCATTCTTATCTTTTTTTCCGTTTTGTAGGAGGAAGGGGTACAAAAATTTTCCATAATCACTACGATCCACTTAGATTATATGCCAACGGTTTTGTTGCCTTTTAATATATATATATATATATATATATATATATATATATATATATATATATTAAATCTTCATTGTAGCATCCTTATGTTTTTTCCGTTTTGTAGGAGGAAGGGGGTACAAAAATTGTCCATAATTCTTATTGTCCCAAGCGCTTTCGGCCACTCTTCTATAGCCATTTTTAAATGTGTTTTGTCTCCGGTGTTGTTATATCTCAATGAAGTTTTGACTGTTACGCTGTAAATTATTTTCGTCTTGTTTTGAATAGGCACATTTATTCCACATCTTCACGTGTTGCGCACGGCTGGAATTCGCGTGAAAAACGTAAGGATGCTGGAAAACTTACTAAACCTTAATTAAATCCACCTCGTCGGCCGCATTTAGTGAAATACGTGTTATATATAGGAGGAGGTGTCAAAATGTTATCTTTTTATTTTATAATGTTTTATGATTTCACCCCCAAGCAAAGCAATATAAATACTAGCTTGCAAGAGGTTACTGAATGGTAGAGAATATAAGAAAATACTAAGGAGATAGGACAATATATGAATAATAGTTCAGAAGACAAGTTAACAATTGACATTGCATTAAAATTTTTGACGGCTAATTTGACTTTGAAGCAAGAAACAGGAAGAGAGTTCCAGAAGCAAGAAGTTTAGTAAAAGAGACTTTTAGCATAGAATATACTGTCACATCTAGACAGTTCAGCTGTAAAATGATGACTCCCTGCAGTCAATCTAGTACTGCATTTAAATTCATAAAGACAAGGTATTATAGAGGGAAGCCCAACAGAACATTTGCCATGGAAATATCTGCTTACCCCATTTCGCTTCATCTGAATAATGCTTCTAGGTTGAACGTTTTACCACCACCACGAATGTATCGATGAGTGATAATCGGAAGTCATTTTGTCCAAAAGAAAAAACAAACAAAGCACCCCCACTCAAAAAAAAAAAAAACAATCTGTTGAATTTTAAGCTATATATGATCAAAATTTTTAAGGATATCTCCTATTCGAAGGAGTCGTTAAGGACCTTTATACAATGTCACAGACCTTACCTAAATACCTGTTCCCAAGCTTGAAGAATTATATGCCTGTGCCTGTACACTATTTACATTTTTCGGAATATTGTTCTCATCTTTGTCGCCATATTTATTACAACGTTTCGACCGTTGTACGCTCCGGCCTTCTTCAGGTGGTTGGAATGTCGAACTGAACCCTTTATTTCGCTCACTGGCGTAGACTGTACTAGTTCCACGTGCCATGTCTAATGGATGTCAGTTATCAGTTATCTCCTGTTAATTCCTCTCTCCAAGTTCTCCACCACCTTTACCAGGTATTGAACTGACACTCTTTGGGTCTTGTCACTGGATCTAACCAAAGCCTTTATCCACTGTGACATGTATTTTTGAGGTTATCTGTATATGAATTTCTGGGTATTATAAACCTAATTTCTTCAGTAACCGTGTTTTACCAGTGCTCATATTGCAATTTTTTCTTTTATCATTGCAGGTTTTTACCAGAGCTCATATTACAATTTTTTGTTATTATCGCTTTTCTCTGGCACTCCTTATTACTGGTTCCCATATTGTATTCATTTCTATGCTTGGTCGGCTCAGTTGATTTTTGTGGCCTAGTATATGTGCTGATTCTTTACTTTACGAATCTTCCAATGGTCTTTTTAATCTTTGATCTCAACCCGATCCCACAGTGGGCGGTGATCTCCTTTTTCTCTCCATATGTGGTCAGCCACGCCTGATTTTTCCACTTCCCCTCGACTGTGACTCTGTGTATTTCGTTTCGTGGATTAGCTATAGCTTAGAGTCATGGCGGATTCTACTTTGATTCCATTTCATCGTTTATTATACTGATAAAATATCTCGTCGCCTATAGTAATTCTTCATCAATGAAACATTGTTACAAAACAAAAAAATCTGCTTCAAAATAGCGCCGTATTGAAAAATGAAGATCATTGACTTTTAAAGACGTTACTGACAAGTGAGCTGGTTTCAGGTTAATGCAACAAAGGAGTTTCACGATGGAGACAAAAAGATTGAATATAAAGGACCCCCGCCACCTGTGGAATCGACCACAACAAATATATATGCCTTAGGCTGCTGAGACAGATTTTTGCCACTGTAAATTATTTCTTCAGACGACTGTCGCTTTTGAATTAAACCGCAGACTCAGTGCTGTGAATTGGAGGCAGTTTCCGTGTAATTGGCGCCTTGCCCAGGCGAGAATTTCGTCTTTTGTTCTCTGCAGGGAAAACAGTCTGTCTTGGAGCGAGACTGAAAAACACAGGCCAGCGCGCGACAGACGTAGAGTCCCCTCTGGAATCTTCATTCGCGAGGCAAAGCCATGATATGACATGATATCTGATTTAATGTGATCGAGCGGAATAGGCATGAGTTATGATAGGAATTTTCAAGTCGAAATGACATGACGTCGAACGAATTGCTGGACATTACATGCTGGTCTCTCTCGAACAAGCAGAACACGCTTATGTGAATTCTCTTGCGGCATAAAGAAAGATAATTCATATCTCGATTTGTGTTTTTTTTTTTTAATTTTCATCTTCCTATATCACTTTGTCGTTATTACAATTTTCATTCCTAATTTCTTCTTTTCGATTAGTTATTTCTCTTCTTTAGATTTTTAGTTTATTTTCAATTAATTTCTCCTTATTTTATTATTTTCTGCTTTCTTTTCTGTCGCATTATTCTCATTTCCTCTTCTACATCAGTCTATCTTTCTTCTTTCTTTCTATTTCATGACCGCTTTAGTTTTTCTCTTTTTTTTTTCTTACTTAACAATTAGTTGTCTCACTCTGATTTCTTTCTTTTATTTCAGCTTCCTTTATCAATATCGTTGTGGTGTCCTCCCTCTAAAGAGTCTATGTTGAACTCTTCCGCCTACTATAAATTTAGTAAGAGAGAAGGCCTTCAGGGAACAGTCGAATAGATTGTTCAACTGTTAACTCTCTGCCTTAAAGAGAGAGGAACACGGACGAGGCTTGGCCAAATGGAGAAGTTTCATCCGGGCGGGTAGGTAGGCTCTGAACCCGTTTATACGGGTTATAAGGGAATATTTTTGGCTGAGCCTACGGGTTCGGTGAAACCAGGTTAAACACGGCCTTGTGCCACATACATCCCACGTGTGTGTGTGTGTGGGGGGTCTATGAAATATTAACAGTCGAATAGTTCTGTTAGCACACTGCTGGTCAAAGAGGATCCCCAGACGAGGCTATGTTGATGGGCAGAGTCTCGTATCGGGAAACAGGTACCCGACCCAGTTTTATACGGGGTCTATGGGAAATTTTTGGCCGAGCCTACGGACTCGGATTGCCCCACATTAAACCCGGCCTTGTGCCACATCCTACCTCGTGGGGAGGCTGGTAAATATAACAGTCGAACAGATCTGTTCGCACTGTACTGGTCAAACTCTCTGACTCCTCAGAGACTCTTCTCGGAAACAGCTACCGGACCCCGGGGAACTTTTGGTCGAGCATACGGACTCGGATTGTCCCACATTAAACTCGGCCTTGTGCCACATTCTAACTCGTGGAGAGGCTGGTAAATATTAACAGTCGAATAGATTGAACGCTGGGTCAACCGACACACATTCACTAGTCGTGTAATACACTTCTGTTGTACTTACTGTTTAATATATGATATATCTGTAACACTTGTTTTGTTATTTCTTTAACCATTTACTTGATCACAACAAATATCCTCTACAATTTCGAAATATTCTCATTGTTCTTAAAGTTTCCTTTCCATTATTCTTCCGTCCATGTTTCCTCGTTATAATTCTTGGACTTACTTTGCCTTATTTCTTTCTTATCAAAGAAAAGTTCTTTAGCATATATTTCATTTTCTTCTTTTTCACTTTTCTTCCTTAAAACCTTTTTTCCTTTAACGTTATCTTCTTTTTCTCTTCTTTCATCTGTTTTTTTTTTCTTTCCTCCTTATCACTGTCAGGAGCACGGGAGAATAATAGATAGCGGCTCGGTTTGAGGAATCGGAGAGCCGAGTTCGATTCCAGTCAAGTTCATTACATTCACTTACGTGCTAATAACATTGGGAAAGGTATAAGTCCATCTGTCCCCCGAGATATGGATAAATAGCTGGAAAAATTCGTTCCTATAACCTTTGTTCACAACCAGTCTAGTAGAAGGAAAACTCTTAATTCAAGCCAAGGTGGCGCGGTTTGGGCTGCGTTAGGCTACCTTGCCCGGGAAACACCACTATGGCTGCATTAGACGTGTTGCCCCAAAAGAGTTAAGGGGTTCGTGATCAATGTTATTACCTTCGATTTCTTTAACTTTTAATTCTGTT